AGAGGCTGCCTTCCTCTGGAGGAGGGAGGCAGTCAGCCCAGGAAGCGCCAGGAAGCTGGGAGAGGCCTTGAAGAAGTGCCAGCCTGACCCTGCTGCAGAACCCGGCCGCACCCTCGCTGCGGGGTCTCTGCCACTCTGCCGTCCCAGGGCCGGAGGGGGAGGCGTGGAGCAGGTCCTCCAGGCTGGCATAGAGGGTCCAGGCCCACCCTGCCTCCAGATCAGGATGTCTTGACTTAGTTGTGGCCTCAGTTTCCTCATCTGCAAAACAGGGATAACATCTCCCTCACAGGGATGAGAGGGATGCTGGGTCTCCTAGCCCCTGCAAGTGCCTGTGACTGTCAGCTTCCATTCTCCCAAGAGTCACTTCAAGGCCCATCCTCTTCCCACCTAAAGCTGAGAACCCAGGTCCCCTGATGTTCGGCAGGTTCTGGGCTGCCCAACTCCACCCCTAGCAGGTCGATCCCCAGATAGTCAACTGCCTGTGTGGCTGGAGCTGCCTCAGCGGAGGATGCTGGGTGTTTGGGTCATATCAGGCAACAGGAAGGGGGGGGCAGAGGAGGCTTCCTGAAGCAAAGGCCTGAGCCTCTGTGAAGGGAGGACAAGAAAAGCCCAGGAGGGAGAAAAGTAATGGGGGCGTGGGGCGGGAGTGATAGCCCAGGGCAGGGGCATAGAGGCGGGGAAGCCTCGGGGAGACCAAAGGGGCTCTGGTGTCAGGTCATTGGGAAGATCTGCAGGTAGTTCCTGGGCAAGGAGGTCTCAGGTTTGAAACCCAGCAACCCTCTGGACGGGGGCCTGACCTCAACCCCACAATGCCCACAAGCCCATTTTATAGATGAGAAAACTGAGGCTCCAGAAGTGGCAGAGCCAGGTCTAGGGCCCGGAGTCCTCTCCAGCGCTACCCCACCCCAAACCACGCTGCACACAGGATCCCTGAAATCCACTTTTATTCATGTAAAAAAAATTCCCAAAAGGATAGAGAAAGAATGTGACCCCTACTTCCCGGAGCTCGCTGTCTCTACCCAGTGCTCCCTGGGGAAGTGAAGGAGATGACGCCCACTCTGGGGTGTGGGTGTCATGGGGGCGAGGCTCTTCTGGCCCAGTGACCCACTCAGCACCTTCTCTAGAACTGAGGACAGGAAAGAGGCGCGGAGGACTAAGAGGGCCCTAGGAGGGTGAAGGGAGGGAGTTAGTGTGGGGTGCTCGCCCCAGTTTAAAAAAATAAAATTTCTAAAGATAAAAAGTTAAAAAAAAA